ATATCCAATTTCCATATCACCGAAAAAGATTAAGTCTTCAGGCATCAAAACGCTTAAAGAAATATCACAGCTTTATTGGAGATCTCAAGAACTCGGTTTTGACAATATTTCTAAAAAGAAAAATTACATTGAATATTGGGGGAGACCTAAAGTCCCTATTACATTCTAAATACATCATCATCAAAATCTATAATATTTTCCCCAACATATACACACACACATACACTAGCATTCCTCCACGCGATGCGTGGATAATAGTGCCCGACACTTTTTTTTCAAAAATGACTAGTATGTTTTTCTTGGTAGAAGAGTGGATTGAATGGCAAATCTGAAAATAGTAAGTGAACTAAATATGAATCAAAGTAAGGGGTTCAGATAAAATAATGCAATTTTAAAAGATCAATTGATTTTTGGTTAAAGAATCTGCTCAGTGATATTATGACTCGAATTGGTGACAATCAATGGAAATCAAAAGGTTAAAATCATTTTCTTATAGTTGTTTAATTATTGGTGATTAGTAGCATTGTGCAAATTTTTTTGTGAAAGCATAGTCAAAGTAGGATAAGTATTTTTACACATAAGGAAAGAAAAAATAAGAACCTAATTGCAAATTCATAAATGGTGTAAGGGTAGACATGATGGAAGATTTAAATTAAGAAATATTTGCACTAAATAGCACTAAAACTTAAGTCATTTCTCTAAATAGCACTTAGATTGTTTTCTTCCATACATAGCACTTTATAATGTCCATAATGACAAATATTTACTTGAATAATGACTAATGGATAATGACTAAAAGTGCTACATTGAGAAAAAAAACATATGCAGTGCTATTTAGGGAAAGCCATTATGTTTTAGTGCTATTTAGGTAAATTCTTCTTAAATTAATACCAAGACCCCATAGATTCAATCAGGAACAATTTTAAACATATAATTTGAAACTGGCCTAGCTCCGCACATTTAGTTCACTTAGTAATCAACAAACTTTTGCTGCAACTCTATAGCATACAGGAGCAAGAGCTTTAGCTAAGAGTCATGAAGGTAGACATTAAAGCAATTAAATAATCATTGTCAACGATCCAAGAAAAGTGTGTTAAAAACAGCTCTAGAATATCTGAATATCCAAACCAAACAAACCCACTTGTATAAAGTACGAATTATATGTTAATGCATATGCATGTCAGGATTTTAAAGGCAAGGTAATTAATGGAAGCAGATAGACACATCAAAAACAGAAAAATTAAAATCATGAATTTACTTGAGTGCAGCTCTTCCTCCTCGTACAAAATCACAGTAGTGCAGTAGTGCTTCATCCATTGCATGAATTCCAATTTATCTAGAGTCATTACTTTCACCAGTTTAATCACATCAATATGCTGACAACACAAGATTACATATACAATAATGAATAATAAGAACTATGTACGAAAGCAAAATAAATGTCCTTATAATCCAATTTTCTTTGATCTAGCATCAGGAAATAGTACCCAATTTGTTGACTTCATGAAATAGTAGTTTGATTTGTAGTGACAAGTTTTTGGTGTTTATATTGCTAATGGAGGATTAATGCACATTTACTACAAATGAATTAAAAAAATAAGAGACACTTGTACCAATACTAACTTGTATTTTATTCACTAAGCATTTTGCACTATGTATACTCTTGTACTATATGGGTGTAACTGGATAAGGAATAAGCAAAAGACCTACCACCTACTCTTTACAAATCCTAATTTAAAACATGTAACAAGAGGCCATAACATAGAGAGTAATCAATGAGTGAGCTGGATTGAGATGAAACCTTGAGCCTTGCAAACCTTGGTAAAATGATGGGGGGAAACATCTTCATTACCTTATGTATTACTCTATTCAAAATTGGGCATACGAAAAAGGCTTGAAAAGAAATCACCAGCATCCTCATCACCATCTTGTGGTTGCTCAACATGCTCTACATAAACAACAAATTGCAGGTGGAAAAAATATTAACACTTTCAACCCTAGGTGTAAAAGAGAACAATCCTAAATTGAGAATTGATTCCAAAATCAAAACAATAAATTGCAGGTTGAAAAGAAAATAATAGATTTAACAAATTCGCAGATAAGTTGCAGCAACTATACACTTGTTTAAAACAGGAAAAGCCTTTGAATGTATCAGGAAATCTACACATCTGATGTAATTGGTTTTTTTTTTTTTTGTGTTTGACTATCCTGGGTAGCTGCTAATTCACCGGGAAAACTGGAAAACCATGTATTGCTATAATCAGGCAGCACATAGAATTTGAAGACACATCAGCGATCGATGATTGAGGGACCGAGCCTGAAACGGAACACAGAGAGGCGGAAGATAGTTGATGAGTCCATACATGCATCGCAGTTGATGCTTCGCTGGGAAATCCGCCTATTGCAATGATTTGTTATTAGAATTGATATTTCGATGGTAATTACCGGATGGTTCGAGGAGACATTAATGGTCCTTTCATTTTAGGAAGTAATGGGGTAGGGGTATTTTAGCACTAAAAAAGTGGCGTGCAAGAGTTAAAGCTCAATGTACCATATTATTTAACGGAAAAACTACATCCATTTTGAGGGTTCTAGAGTTTGACTACCATGGTGTTGAGCTTGATGTCTCCAAACCCTAAGAGTCTGCTTGGTTGGGCTGGAGGGGAGGGAACCGAAAATTTTAAGTTCAAAACCCTCCCCTCCCCTTGTATCTACCCCTTCCAAATCGGGGTGTTGCGGTTTCCTTCGTCCAACAACAAGCCTTTTTTATTAATTGCAAAAACGTGGCACCATCTTTTTCATTTGCATGTCAAATCGCAGAGGCCACCACCGCCGTCTTATTTGTTCATTGCAGAACAACAATGAGGCAGAGGCTACCATCACCGTCAATGTTTTATGTCTTCGCCGCAGGAGCCCAGAGCCTTTTTTTATTAATTGCAGACTCCTGGCACCATCTTTTTCATTTGCATGTCAAATCGCAGAGGCCACCACCGCTGTCTTATTTGATCATTGCAGAACCACAATGCCGCAGAGGCTACCATCACCGTCAATGTTTTAAGTCTTCGCCGCAGGACCCCAGTGCCTCCCGTCTCCCAAAGTACGGATCTTACACTTCAGTTTTCCAATTTGGTGGAAAGTTCCTGACAATGGAAATTGATAACTCCTCTTGCAAACTTTGTAAGTGAAAGAAGCTAATTCAAGAAGAGAGTCCAAAAAAAGCCTTCGAGATCCATTTCCTCCGACGAGGTCCAATTGAGGCTTTCCTTCCCTTCCCTAACCAAACAAGGTAAAACAAAACCATCCCCCTCCCTTCCCAGTCCTTCACATCCATCCCTTCCCTCTCAACCAAACAAGCCCTTGAGGAATATAGTACATGTCAGGAAAGTGGACAGGGATTTGCACTTCAAATGCACCTATGAAAGAGTCCCCTTCTTTTGTAAAACATGTAGAACCCTTGGTCATAAAAGTTGCACCAGATAAATCATAGGTGATGATCCTGGTAAATAGTTAAAGGAGCAAGATGCAGTGAAGGAAAAGGACAAGGAGAAGAAAGTTGAAGAGGAGCCTTGGCAGACAGTTCACAAGGAGGAGCCTTGGCAGAAAGTTGGGGGGGTGGAAGACACTTGATGGGTTCGAGTAGTGTACTTATGGTTGTTGACGGTGGGAAACGACAGTTGACGAGGGGTGACGAAAATTGAATTAGAACAATAGATTTGTTTTTCAATTTTTTTTTGTCTTTTTCTCTTCAACTCAGATCTTCATAGATTTTTATTTTCAATTTCTTCATAGCCCTACCTTTTATCTTGAATCTATATTTCTTTTGATTTTCCACTTCCTTGTCACTGAGCGCAGTGGCAGGGTATAGATAGAGACTGAGAAGAAGAAAGAACAAATTTAAGAACGGATAGAGATGGAGTAGACAGTGGGTGAATGAAGAACATAAAAATGGATAGAGGTTGAGACATGACTATATTAGTATACTATATTATGAAATAAGTGAAAAGAATCCAGCAAAGTGAATAAAAATTGACCGTGTGAATATTGTATGAGAAGAACTAACAAGGACAAAAGGAGTAGATAAATCAAATTGCAAACGGCTTCAATCAAAAATCATGAATTGAATCATGAACAGTATTTAGGAATGGAGTATCATATACCATTTAAATTTGGTCAATTAGTTTTAACTTCTAAGAGAAAAATAAAGTAATCACACTAATGTTATTTATTGTGTGGTACACATTTTATTTAAAGGATAGTCAAGGACCCAAATAATGTTCTCGCAACTGCAAGTCTACATCACATAAACCCAAGCAATATACTCCCTCCATCCTTTAATAAACTTTACATTTTGGTTTAGAATTTTTAAAGAAATTTATTTTGAATTCAATTTATTTAAGTCTTGGTGTAAAGTTGAAAAATATTTATATATCTAAAAACTGCATCAAAAGCTCTACAATACCAACAATGACAACTTTTTTATCATAACAAGGGATTAACACAAATATAAAGAAAGACAACATAGTTTGACTATGTGAATAGTGAGAATGAAGTTTATTTAGCAATGAAGAGAATATCAAATGCTTGTGGCTTTCCTTTTTATTCTTTATAAGGCTTTTCAAAAAATAATTCTAAACTTCTCCAAAAAGTATTTAAAAGTGACCTTAAAAATATATATGGCAAAACAAAAAAAGGTTTACAAAAACATCTCTGGAACACAAAAAGAATGCAAGGATAACTGGCTTGGGAGTGAAATAGAATTAGACCATATTAATAGCACTTAAAAAATTTTAAAGCAAAATATAAGAAGGTAAGAATGAAAGACAATAACTTAAGGTGACAGAAGAAGGGTACAAATTACAATAAAAACAAAGAATAAACTTAGCCTAAACTCATGCAAACTAAAGGTAAAGGAAACATGATCAGCGCTCCTTTGAAATGAAAAATGCAGTGGAGGCATAAAACTACACATCCAAACATGCATTTTGATATATGATTAATTAATTTTAAAATTAAATTCCAAAACTTGCCAGTAAAACAGGTAGTAGGAGCCGTGAGCTTCCTGAAAAATGGGCTCTTAGTCCCCTAGCAAGATTCCCAATTGCTTGTATGGCTTCAACAGCTACAGCAATGTTCACATCAGTGATGACCTACAATGTAATGAATCAGCAACAATGCAACGAATAGAAACAAAAATGTAAATTATACAAGTAAAAACACTTCAAACGCTTATCATAAACTATAATCATCAGAATTTTAAAAAGTATATGCCATTTGGAATTGTTCAGATGAGAAATGAACAATCAATTAACATGCCTTCTTCAATGTGCGGCAAATTTCAGAAAAATCTCCAGGTGCTATTCTCTTTGTCGATGCAAGCTTTGTTAACTCTGCAACAGCATCCTTTCGTTCTGACCACTTTGCAGCCTTCTGAAATCAAAAAACAAGTAAAATAAAGGAGGAATACAAGACAAAAAAAAGAATGATTTAGTTGACCAAGTAACAGACATTCATCAGTTGCTCAAAAGAACAAAAAAAATGCAATAGTGAACAAACCACTCCATCCCAAAAACCAGACTTTCCAAGAGGAGTTAAAATATCAACAGGATCAACAAGTTCATATTCATCTATTTCCTGTGGGCTGACAAAAAATAGAAGAATTCGGGTCAGTAAAATATAATATCACACACCATGTTTCCTATAATAGCTTTATGAACTATTTCTCTACTTTGGAGTTTGGACCAACCCACAATAACTGAGATCAATATTCATTTCAACAAAATAGAGATAAATGTTCAAAGTAGTTACATACTGTCAGCAGCGGATTCTTCAGAAGGTCCAGAGCAAGCTGTCGTGGACTCGTGGGCATAGCATCCTGTTCTAGCACCTTGTCTTGGGCAGATCTGGCAAAGATTAACCAGAACTTTTATAGGTTTAGGCATTTCAAATCTCTGCAGGAGAAAAAGTTCAGGAAACAGACTGCACCTTATTTTGCGAGTTGGCTTTGCAGTCCCGGTAACGTTAACAAGCTCAGCCTCAAGTTCTTTTTTCTTATAATAAAAAAAAAAGAACAATAAGAATCTGCCTAACATGAACAGATAAGCAGCAAAATTAGGATTGAGGTATATAGCATACCATTGTATCACGCATTTTTTCAAAAAGTATAGATTTCACTGGATCCTTCCCAACCCATCGACATAGTTCCAATGTTAGGCCCTTAGAAGAAGCTCGGACATTCTGATCCTGATGGTCAAATAATTCAGGAAGCATCTTCAAAATTCTTTTTGGTGGGATAACCTTTGAGCCAAATTCTCTGCTCATTGATGGGGAAGAGTCATTAAAACTAAAATCATCAAATAAATATTTAAAAAACAGGCAAGACAGAGGACCAGATTCCGGTGAACCTTAAGGCCTGAAACATGACATCTACCGCAGGTACAACAGCTTTTGCAACTTTATTTTTAATTGCTTTCTCCATAGCATCCTACAATGTGTCAGATTGATGTGTAACATAAACCATTAATATTCCACAATAGAGTAACTCACTGTCCCTTAAATGAGACATTCCTCACTTGACATATTTCAAGTTGCTAAATGTTAATTCTTCAACAAACTTTATAGTTGCAAGCTACTCTTACACAACAACCTAGTATAATCCCAACTCTGTAGGGTCAAGGTAGTGAAACACACAAATTGACTCCTAGAGTCGTGCAAATTCCAAAAGATTGTTAAAAAGAATAACAATTTCAGCAAGATCATGGCAGACATGGTTCAGTATCATTGAATGAGTAGGATCAGTCCAGTTCAAGCAATGTCAAAGATATAAAGAGTCCAATTCTTACCACTTCGAACGCACAAATTTTATGAGTAACATGTCGTCTACAGTCTACTACTTGCACTACAGCCTGAAAAATCATACACCTGTCTATGCCTAAAAACCTCCAAAAATACTCCCTAGTTATCTTCCTTAACCGCCATCTAGGGCGTTGACAACGTGAAAAAAATGCTCTAGATTGTATCATTTCTTTATTCAATAAATTCAGATGCAATTATATCTTTTTCTCTCCAATTATTCTTCTATTTATTCAGGTTCTCCCATTCTTCTCAATATTCCAGACTTCCACCTGACTTGCGATCAATGATTGATGTATCAACAAAAGATGTGTGGGTGTCTGTGTGTATTTAAGTATATAAATACATATGTAAGAGGAGTTCAGTTAAAAAGGGACATAGCAAAGAGAAAAGGTTTTAAATTGACCTTGAAGGCAAAGTATAACACACTTTTTAGGGAACTTTGATGTTGTTGAAGATATATGAGAAATAACATCAATAATGTGCTGCTGGACCTGCGGTTTAAGCAGTAGCAGTGAAAGCATATGTATTAGACCACAACTAGAGAGCCAAAAGGTGCTACTTTGAAATGCAGAAACTTAGTCAGAATGGAGCCCAAAATTTTTTATATCTGCTTTGGTGTTATCTATATCCTTTGTCTAGAAATAATGATTCCTTAAAGATTACCATAGAAACAATTATTCCTTGAAGAATGCCAACTAAATGTGCATCCTTCTTTCTTTTGCTACATAAAGTACATAGAGGGATCACCACAACAACTATGAAATGGCTGTATTTATCATATTTTCAAAGGAATATTAATCAATATGTTGACATTCCAATGCACAATAGAGGCAAGTTTTTCACTGAAAAAACTAGAAATGGTATACCTGCACATTCTTTTCATTCCATCCAGGGACAACAGATAAAAATCGAATCAAAATCTCTACTGATGGGTCAAGTTCTTGAAGTGCCATAACCTGCCCTTTAAACGACAGGATAGCGGCAAAGACGAGAAGTTGACAATACAGAAAAATATAAATTGAGAAGATGTAGTGCTGAGAGTTTAATTTTGGTGAGGCGCATAAGGCCGTAAGGGAACCTATTTTGTGACTAGGATGGAAAGAGGACATAGAAAGGCTTGTACAACAACAAACAGAGTAAAATCCCACCAAAGTAGGGTCTGGGTGGGTGTGTGTATGCAGACCTTTCCCCTACTCGAGTGTAGAGAGGTTGTTTCCAGGAAATGTGTTTATATCATTATATGTGAATATGTGATAATGACAGAAATTGGAATTATCTTACGACCTTCAACCCTCTCTTTCCATGATGCACTCTTCAACATGGAAATTGTGTCCGGCTGTATAAGGGAACCTATTCTGCTCTCAATATGTCGAGACTCATATCTTCTGGCTGTGGTAAAAAAGTTTAAATGAAGACAAATAGCAAAATTGTATTCTGTAGCACGAAAAGCATTTTTAAAATCAGAAACAGTTTGGTGCACATCAAGGTGTAAAAATAACAGTGAGAAACTAACGCAAGAAAACACAATTTTCTTGCCTCTACATCTTCAACATCCACAGACTTGGACAGTTTCAACTGCCCGGCTCCGTTCCCTTTTTTGGAAACTCCAGGTTTTGCAGGCACTACTTTCTTATTGATGGGCTAAAATAAAAAAAATAGATTTTACTAGCCCAAAGCTATTTTCCACTAGATTTGAAACAAATAAAAAAAACAAAATTATCCGCTAAAAGAAAGTAAAACTTACAGCAGCCTGAACAGCTTTTTTCCCATTAAGCATACTAGTAGCTGACCTCCTAACAAATGATCCATCTGCTGCCTACAAATACAAACAGAGACATTGGTGATTGGCTTTGGCCTGAAAAGCCCAGATTTTAAACCAGCTGATCAAGTTGTGCCCAACAACCTATCAGCTTGTCACAAGGTAAAAGAGCCGTCTAGATACTAAGTCATCAAATTGTATTGAAGGATAGAACTAAATTTCGTTTACCTTATGAACCCTTAATAAGAATACATCAATTAAATTTTAATTTTCTTAATTCTTCTTTTTTCCTCTTTGATCGTGCTTTGTATTTTTTTAATATGTATTTTTTCCACTATTTCCTTTAGAAAAAATCAAAAAACGACCAATTAAATTTTAGTTTTCTAAGTTGGATGTGGTAGAATCAAATGTTTACTCCATATCTTCTAATTACAGTGTAATACTTTGCAACAAAAACCAACCCAGTAGAATACTACATATTGTATGGTTTGGGGAGGGTGTGTGTATGCGGTTCTTACCACTACTGTAAAGTAGAGCAACTTTGATAATGATAATACTAATAATATGTTTAATGGCGAAAAATTATATTTCATTTTTTTCTTTTGCAATGCTTACACTTAATTTTCCTTTACTTGTCAAGTAATTCAAATTTATATGTTCTTCAATGAAAAAAGTTTAAATACATAACTAAATTTATGATCGCATACACTCCCTCTGTCCCAAAATAAACTTCTCGCACTTTTTTTTGTTGTACCAAAATAAAGTCCCCTTTCCATTTGAAGAATGAAATGGGTGGTCCACAATAACTTTCTTTTACAACAATCTCGACTTAACAGTTTTACTTTTTTTAAACTCTGTGAAAAGTCAAGCATGAACTTTAATTTGGGATAGGAGTTTATGATTAATAAGCGCATGCCAATTAATTTCATTGAATTATAGTCGAATGAAATAAAATGGAAAAAGTAAAATGGCTCTTAAACTGTGTGCGCTTCTTTTAAAAGTGAAATAGCAGTTAGTCAATGCAATTCTCGACACTCATCATGGGTCACTGGAAACAAAGGCTATATGTTTCAAACATATGGGTTAGGCTTGTGTACATCTGGTCCCCTCTTTACCCCCCGCAATGGGCGGGAGCATTTGAAGCACTGAGGTAATGTTGTTGTTTATTGTAAATAATTTTTTTTCATACTGTGCTGGAAACAGCTGAAAGAAATTGGTAGTATGGAGTAGGAGCTTGAGAGAGTGGAGTTTAAATTCCAAATTAAAAGAATAGGGCCTGAGAATTATTTTGGATTAAAGAAACACTAACTTACCCTCTCAAAAATAAATCTTGGACCAACAGCTTCACAGAAAGTAGTGAGGCATTTCATGGATTGAGCACGTGTCTTGATGTCAGCAACTCTTTCAGAGATACCTGCAAGCAAAGAATGCAAAACCATGAGATAAGGAAACACAACAAATTGATATACCCAGGCTCGGCTCTGCTTGCCGAACACACCCTTAGGCCGAACCCATCCCCACCTAGCCCACTATATTTATTAAATACTTCATCAACATAAGAATAGCAAGACCATGACAAATACTCTTCAAAGTTTCCTAGTTTATTTTCATCAGTAATAGTAATGTTTCCCCCTTTACCCTATATATATTTCGGCCATATGGCCAATGTAAGGAACATGTTGAAATGAAGTTTAAATCAAGTTAATACTCTTTGAGTGTTTTCTCCGAAAAAGTGTGATGCTTGTTCAAACGAATTCCTAATTTGTATTTTAATAGTTCTCTTCAGTTGAGTGTTAGGTTCTGGTTATTTAATTAGGAGTGATTCTTAACTAAATTCTAGAGTTGACACTAAGCTATTTTTAAAGCATTGCATCCACAAGTCAACGATGCAAAAGACATGTAGGAACCGCTTTAGTCTGATATAACTATCAATGCAATGCTCAAGCAAACATACGTTGGGTTTCTTCTCAAAAGAAAACGAGAATACAAGATCTAACCATTTTAAGTTTGCGCAGTTCTCTGTGAGCAACTCTTAACCTCCATGCACACTGGGTGGTAACCGCTGCTTTCTTCATTCTCTTGTAATGAATGCGAGCCACGAATCCACAAGAGGTTTAACAGAAATTGACATGCACCCAAGCAAACAACCATCATGAAGAGGACAGAATGTATATAAAACAATCAGTTCAGAGAAGACAACATTACTTCGTCAGTTGACTTGTTGATAATTCAAGAGCAAGGAGAGTAGCTAAAGCACCGCCCAAACTATGACCAGTTACATAAACATGCCACTTGGGAGTGGGTTCAAGGTCATCATCTCTGCATTCATTTCATTGAAACCTGGTTGAGTTAATTTCCATTATTCAAATTGTAATTGAGATTATATGATTACAAATGCGTTATTAGTATAGTTCTGTGGTAGCCTCCTCCAATATGACAGATTTTATAAAAGTAGTCTACATAGTAATGTTGACAACAACAAAAACCTGCCATTGGGTACCTGGGTAACTGCAGAGTTAAAATATCTTAAATAGATATAATGCCTAACACAATACAT